AATATATAATAATATATATATATATATATATATATAATAGTTATATAGTATATATATATATATATATATATATATATATAAATATATGTATATATAACATTATATATAATATATATAACACTTCATATATTATATATAACACTTTATATATTATCTATATAACAATATATCAATTTAACAATATATAGATATATATATATATATATATATATAATATCTTATCCGTAGTACGTGAAGACGATGGGGACCGATAGCTGTCTTCTGACAGATGCAAGTAAAGCACAGAGGGTTTGCGCTACTATAGCTGTGCTATACACTGCGTCGCGCTCAGTTAAGCTTCGCTAGCCCCTATGATAGCAACAGTATCATTACAGAGAAGCTGCAAGGATATACAGCTATTGCGTCGCCAAAGTGCATTAAAACTTTCTGTGATTCCTCGACACATTAGAGAGCGCTATCTATATTATAAGGCACTAAGCAAGCGAATGGGCCACATATGCAAGAAGATCTGACAAACTTGCATGCCTAAAGTACATTATACATACATACGACTGTTGCAACGAAATCTTCTATAGTGATGTCACTTAGAAATAAATGCACCAATCTTTAAAGTGTACGATGGACGACATGATCATCCTATGCACATACCTGAGGGATAGCGCAGAAGTTAAATACGCTCTGTTCTGTAATCTTACTCATATACGTGAACATCGCCGGTATGTGTTCCAGAGCATTTGTGATTAGTTCATTCATGCAGGCCACTGCCTTGCCCCGGTTCTCCGGCAACCTAAACTCTTCAAGCGAGGCCGCATACTTGCCCCATACACACTTTGGCCACCACACCCTACCTTCGTCGAGATCCTCAAGGAAATCGCGTATGATATTTGTTTTCTAGAATTAGAAAGGTGGAAAAATTATGCAGAAAGTTAGAAGAGACGAGACCTAGAAAATATTCTCTATCCAAGTATTTATGCACACAAACAATATAACAACAACATTTTTCTCCCAAATATAGGAATGTCGTACTAAAACGAATACATACCTGTAGGAATAAGCCCATTTGATTGCCCAGGTGCTCGCACTCCTTGCCGTAGAATTCCTCGCTCTCGAGGCCCGACGCTGCGAACAACTTCGACAGGCCAATGCCCACCAAACCAGCAACATGATGACAATACTCATCCCAATCTGCTAATGTAATGACAGTGATACTCTCGTCGGCATAGTGACACATTCCTTTGGCCATACGCTGTGTGATGTTCTGTATAACGTCGCGGTACTCCTTTTTAAGTCGCAAAAATTCGGTCACAACATAGTGAAATTCCAGCAATAGGTGGCGATCCTTCTCATCTGGGCCGTTGCCGTCGAATGTCCAGCCCTCTTTGTACAATATATTATGGAAGTCTAATAGTAACGGTGCTTTAGTATCAAACGGGATGGTCATGTCATCCTCTATGGTATCTAACCCCCTCAGTACGAGATAGAAGACACAAACCGCCGCTCTTAGTTCAGGCTGGAGTGCCTGAATAACCGCAGCAAATGATCTGGAAGTTAAACCGAGTAGTCTGTAGCATTCAATAAGTTCTTTCGTGGTCTCTTTTTGTATTGTATCTGCTTTGGACAGGTCTCCTGTACTTGACGTGGGTGTTGTGGGTGCCGAAATGCCTCCATTGAGTTTGTATGACACCATCGCGAAGATTTCGTCGACGTGCGACAAACTGGCTACAAACTGCATTCTGTCGATAAATTTGCCTTGTAGCTTACAACCTGTTCAGTGTATTGTATTGTTTAGCTTCGGCTTCTATTAATGAAGTAAAATTGCCTCAGTACAGTCCAATATTGACTATATAAATATATCCTCCATTCCCCGTGGGCGTGAACTGCAGTAAGTTTGAAGTAGTCTCATTTTAGAGTGTATATAAATTGAATGTGTCAAAATTCAAAATTCAAAAGTCAAAACCTCTCTCAAAAACGGAAACTCTCGAAACAAAATCGACACGCAGCTGTCGACCAATCACTATCATTCTGAAGAATATCGTACCATTGCATACATAGCCGGGGCCCGGGAGCCCTATGGGCTGGGGCCGTCCTGGTCCCTGGTCCTGGAGGCCTGGGCGGCTGGGCTGGGGGCCCTGGGAGGGGGGGGGGGGGGGTGGAATACCGCTCTGAGGATTGAGAGTCTTAACTCTTGTCTTCAGACTCTCGAGTCTCGACCTCAGTGCTCAGGACCCAAACTAACCAAGTCCTCTCAGTTCCTTTCACTCCCGTGTTCATATTCTGAACCTAGGACCTCAAGTCTCATGACCCAATGATCATCAATTACTATCTATTAGACTACAGTCATTGGTCAACTATTGCATAATTACTATCCACTGATATCAGAATGTTGGTTTAAAATTACAACAATGTGTATAAAGTTTGAGTATTGTTTAGTATTTTCGAATAGTCTATTGACTGCGCTTGGATATTTTCAATATCAATCCTATAGTATGTTGACTATATTCATATTTATATATAAACTAAATTTTTTTCTGCAGAAAATTGCGTGCTGAATGCTAAGAACCAATACAATAAGCTTATTTAAGAATTTTATTCTTTTATTCCTCAATGATATCATTTAGAACTCGTATATATTACTATTATTTCATTAAAATATTGATGCTTAAAATTGTTCCCGTGCTAACCCAATGTAAGTTTCCAGATATCTGAAGAGCCAATACAAAAATTATCTTATTCATGTATTGATTTGTTTTCGGTATGTATGTAGTATGACGACTCATAGGGATTACAAAGGGAGGCAGCTGGCAGCTGTGCGTGGCAGGCTGTCGGGCGCCTGAAATGAAAATCCCTTAATTGTTTTACTTTGTTTGAAAGTTGAAACAACTCGCAAAAATAGGAAAAAAAGTCACCAAGGCTTGTGGACCAATCACTGTTAAAAGATTCGCTCTATACCCGTACCCTATTGGGTAAAGAAGGTAGTACACAGAGTCGTATCATTGTCAACAGCGACTATTTACTGTAATTAGTGATATAGGCCTAGGAGGGAATTATGTACTTAATTTTATTGATGTTACTATGTGCATGATTCTTCATCTAAAGCTGTAAACATAAATAGAACACTTTTATGCGGATATTAAGTGTCATCTCTCCTCTTTCTACTTAGAGAGAGATACAATCCACAGAGTGCTCAGAACTTGTGTAATCTTTTCGGTACTAGAGAGAAGTGGGAGCAAATTGTGACTATTCAAACATGGCGACAAGTAGTACAGTGGGCCTCACAGAGGGGCGAGCGTCTGGGAGTGCTGGGTCAGAGTATTCCAAGACAGCACACCAATCCAGAGATATGAATACGAACGATTCACATGCACGTTCACATCTAGATACAAGTGGGGCTCAAAGGAGTATACCTAATTCGCGATGTCGTAAGTCATCTGTGGGTAAGTTGACCCCTTGCAACAATAAATCATACGCACCTAGTGCACACCACAGCGGGCTTTGGCGAAACGGTAAATATGGTAGAGGTTCGTTTAATACAGAGGGTGTCTTTACTTGGTCACCGGCACATGGGTCTGACAGCGCCAGCAGCATTTCGTTCGATGGACGCGACTTGTTGTACGTGCAAATCAAGGGTAAATGCAACACGCCTATTAGTACTGACCAGGAAGGGGACGAGGACGTTGCCACACAGATTGAAAATTCTCTACAGGAGGAGATAGAGATGCACGAGCGTGTGGAGGATAAAGGGCGTAAAGGTAGCGCTTCGAGTTTGAGTGCAATAGATGCGGTTCTCACACACAGCCTGCCGCCAGCTGGACCAGAGATATATCTATTCGAGGTCACATACGCCAACACAAAGTCTGTGAGTGAACCGGTTTGGACAATCGAAAAACTAGTCCTAGGTTGTGTCAGGTGAGTTACATGGACAATATACTTATGTCATTCAATCTTTCAAATGGGAAGCTTGTTCAGTGATACTCATACTCGTCGTCGGCATCTCTTTTGTGTAATATATGAACCTATATAAACACTTGGTAAACAACCCTATATAACTTAGATATATGTATGCTGCATATAGATATGTGTCGCTCTCTTGTGCGTTTACATGATCAATTGTAAAAGGTATAAATAAATGACTATGTGGACATATATATATATATATGGTGTGTGTCGGTGTTTGTGTATGTGTCTGTGTGCGCATATATATATATATATATATATATATATATTATATATATATATATATATACATATATATATTATATTATATATATATATATATATACATATATATATTTGTGTGCGTGTGTGGTTGTGTGTCTGTGTCTGTGTCTGTTTGTCTGCATCTGTATCTGTCTATATATATTTATATACATAAGTATATATATATATATCTGTGTGTGTGTATGTGTGTGTGCGTGGGCCTGTTCCTGGGCGTTTATATAGAAATCAAACAATATACATATATATATGTATATATGTGTGTGAGTCAGACAGAGTGTGTGCATGTGTGTATGTGTATGTAAATATTCATATATGCCTACATATATATATCGGTATGTATATGTTTATTCTGTATATGTACATGTATATATATATGTATATATATATATGCGTGTGTGTGTGTGTGTGTGCGTCTGAATAGATTTATATATGTATGTATATGCGTATATATACTTGTATGTATGTATCTTGTATGGATGTGTATATGTATGTATGTGTCTTTATGTGTGTGTGCGTGCGTGAATGTATTATGTATATATATAGAATATATATATATATATATATATATGTATCTGTGTGTATGTGTGTTTCTGTGTGTTTGTTATATATAAATAGTGTGTGTGTGTATGATATATGATATATATGTGTGTGTGTGTGTGTGTGTGTGTGTATATATATATATTCAAATTTTCCTACATGTATATATCGATATGCATATCTTTATTCTGTATATATATATATGTGTGTGTGCGTCTGTATACATATATATATATATGTGTATATATACATATATATGTATGTATGTATGTATATATATTTATCTATGTATGTATACGTATGTATGTATGTATGTGTGTGTGCGTGTATGTATATCATTTGTGTGTGTGCGTGTATGGACATATATATATATATATATATTTGTGTGTGTGTGTATGTGTGGATGTGTCTTTTTTTGTTGTTTGTATATATATATATATTATGGAGCATGTACTTATCAGTCTGTGCGCGTTTGTACTCGCTCTATCTTATTGGTATATATGTAAGTTACTACGCCTGCGGTCACAGCTATATGCAGACACTGATAGAAAACTGTTCGTAGACAGATATTCGCCGGTGCGTATGTGAGAACCATAATTGTATTGAATGGCAGTGAGTTTTCGGTCGAACAATGTTTATTACGTACGGATTACGCACGTGTGTCAAGGTTTTTATCCCGTTTGCTCTCGCACGTGCATACGAACTGCCGGAACTAAACATGAACTTCTATGCAAATGCAAGGTTGTCCACATCGACTGTCAAAAAACGGATGACATTTTGAAACCTACACATCGCCGATATGTGATACTTCATTCTGATCTTATTGTCTCGGCTGTTCACTCGCAACATTCACAGCCAAGACAGTATCATCCAGTGGGTGACCGTGCTGCAAGACAGCATCAATGCGCAGAGGAAGACCCACAGACCCAGCCGGCTGTTGGTGTTTATCAATCCATACGGGGGTAGAGGCTACGCAGAGAGTATATACAAAGAACAAGTGCGACCGCTGCTCTCTAAATGCTCGATCACAGTCGACGTTGTCTTGACAACGCATGCCAACCACGCGCGGGATGTGGTGAACACCACCGAGCGTTTGGGTGAGAAGTACGATGGTGTGGTGGTGGTGGGTGGAGATGGGTTGCTGTCCGAGATCATCAACGGTATACTAACCAGGACGAACCGCGATACTATCAAGAAGCTCAGGATTGGTATCATCCCTGCGGGGAGTACCAACTGTGTGTTGTACAGTGCACAAGGGGGTGATGATGTGACCACGGCCGTGCTGCAGATCGTGCTCGGTAGTCGCATGAGCCTGGACCTGGGCAGTGTATGGGAGGGCAAGCGTCTGAAGACATACTTTGCCAGCATGGGAGCGTATGGCTTCTTCGGAGATGTCGTGCACATGAGTGAGAACCATAGGTAATTAGGGTGTTTTCTCGTACGTACCTGTAGACGCTTGCTTGCTGTATATCTGTATGTGGGACAAGTGACGGTGGTTAGTAGAGTTCTTATGAATCCGGACTGTTACGGTCATTTCTCCTCTTGTTGTGGAAGGGCCTGAGACACTATATGCATGTCACTACGTGCATGCTACATACGTACATGTACGTTTTTGTGTGGGTTAGACTTGCCCGATACGACTGCTCTCGATCCAAGACCTATGCGCGCAAGAAGGCTTGTAGTGACCACAGCCACACTTATGCATAGATCTTCACGTATACCTATACCTATATAAACGCTAGTGTATTTATCTCATATGTAGGTGGATGGGGCCTGCCCGGTATGACTTCTCGGGATTCAAGACCTTTATGAAGAAGAGAGCGTACAGGGGCAAAGTCTTTCTGCGCAACACAGGCAAACGGAGAGGTCACTGTGGCGTGTGTCGCATCGATTGTCCCGGCTGTGATAGTGACTCGGAAGAAACGTCGCCACTCCCGACGGTGATGAACGAGGATGTAAGTTGTGGCTGGTTTATTGCATCTAGGTTTATGTCGGATGGTGTAGTTTATTCGCTGCAGGCATTTCGGTAGTGATGTATGGGTAGTGGTGTCTCTGGTTGTCGTTGCGTTCATACATGCGCTTGCCATGCTAGGTGTGTAGGTGAGCCCGTGTGGGTGCCCTGTATTTTCCAAGGCTGTGCTGGCGTGGGCGTATCTGTGTATTCGTAGGCCATAGTGGATGCTTGTGAGTTTTATCTATAGCCGCCAGTACACCATTGTCGATCATCTGTCAGGGATTGGGAGCAGCGCTAGATATGGTTTCCTGTGTTCTGAACACATCTGAAGTGCGAGCGAGGAACTGTGTGGCTCGTACAGTATACTATTGACACCCATTCATTGTGAAAGGAAAGGGTCTTGCATGCTTTGATAGTCAATCAGCATCCTGCACACACGTCTCCCAGATCAAGGAGAACATTTGTGCACAACACAGCGCAATATATCCTTCTCTGCATTGTTTGATGTCAATTCTGTCGCTACTACTTGCTCGTTCGATGTTGACTGGTACAACTGATCATGTATTTCTTTCGTATCACCATGTTTACACTTTTGTAGCTCTCAGTATGGCCTTGCTCATATACATTGTACTACAATAATATATTTATCCTTAAATTTGCATCACACTCATAGTGTTTGGCTCTTATTGCCCCATCTGTGTACTCAGGGCGTCCACGTACGCGATTCGCCGTTCTCCTCATACGAAAGTCTAGAAGCTCGCACACAGAGTGCTGCTAGAGATTCTGCTGTAAATGAGAGTCAACAATCAGAGTCATCTGTCGCCGGAAGGGGTGGAGAGGGATCGGCAAGCACACACATACACTCACAACCGCATACACAGGCCAATCTAGACGGCCCCTTACCCACCACACACACAGACGCATCTACTAGGCAAGAAGCACCCCTGGGCCCGTCGCCAGATGGCTGGGAAGTAATAGAGGGAGATTTTATCTGTGTAAACGCAACGATCATGTCGTGTCGGTGTCCGAAAAGTCCCAATGGCATGTCACCGCATGGGCACTTGTCGGATGGGTGCATAGACCTCATTCTTGTCCGAAACTGCAACCGAGCCCAGTACCTCGCTCAGGTATGGGGTTTCCCCAATTCATGCCTATTGATATTGAGTTGGTGTTGAACTTGGCCTCGGTTTGTTCTTACCTTGCAACCGGGAATATGTTTAAATCTAATCTTGATATGCCTCCCTGTACCGAATTGTACCTGGGCACACTAGCAGTCGGTGTTTGTCAGTTTTGTGTTGATCAAATGTTGATTTAGGATGCGCCTCGTAGCATTAAACAAAAGCAATTGTGGGCACGTTCAAACTGTGTGTGCGGTGTGCCGTGGGTGAGTCAACTCTGTGCGTGGAATTGTTTGGTGCGGACGTGGCGTTGTCACGGGATCAAACTATGCAAATACACGCAGTCAAGATGTCGCCGGTCTATTGGATATACTATTACACGCATGTGGTGGCCTGTAGTATACATATCGATGATGTTCGCCGCGGAAAGTATTTCACATCCGGTTTCCGAAGAAGTGGTTGCGCACTCGTGCTTCTGTGTGTGTGGGCCGAAACAAAGTAGGCCCGAGACTTGATTCAATCATTTGCTCGCTTGCAACTAGGAATATAGAAACCCCACTTTAGTGTCTGCGTATGGTGGACTTTCCGTTCGGAAGTTGCAAAAGATATTTCGTTTAGTACTGTAGTGTATGCCGTTGGTCACGGAGAAAACCCGAGAGAACCCTCCCCCCAACGATATTCGATCGAGCAGCACAGGAAACATTCACGACGCAAGCCATACGCACTCGCTATCATACGATACACCTTCTTTGTGCGCTCTATTGGTGTTTTCTGACATTTCTCTTTCCTTTTGTTCATCTGTTCCACCCGCAGCTAACGTGTCTGGCCAATCCCACTGCGGATCACTTGTCGTTCGATTTTGTCGAGTTCACCAAAGTCACTGAATTCTACTTTGTCCCGAGTGCATCCGAGGACAAAGAAGACAACACCGAGTGGGTGGTGGATGGCGAACCTCTTGGGACCGGTACCATCCACTGCCAGGTGCACAGTAATCTGATACACCTATTCCAACGTAGACCTCTGACGCTGCACAAGTCCAAGCCCAATCTCATCCACAAGGCGAGTGAACAACTCGACGACGGTGCCACGGACGGGGACAAAAAAAAACTGCAACCCCACAACTCGCAGACGCGACGGGCGGATGCGTCTCATGCTGGTGATGGTGAGGTGGAGAGTCAATTGGAGGAAGGCTCGCTCAGTGGTTTTGTTGGGAGCTTAGGGTTGGGTATGTGTATGAGTCCTGGGACCGCGGGAGGTGGCCCAGTTGGTCCATCCCCGGATTACAACGGCGATAGCAGTATATCGCCTAGTGTCGATAACATTGTGGGAACGGGTATTAATGATAGTAGTATTGGCGCAAGTAGCAGTAGGGGTGTGGACATTGGAAGTGCAGGCGATGGTGTGGGACTAGATGAGAGTCTCCAGAGTGTAAATTACGCCACTCTGAAGGTCACGCCGAGCCTGCTGGATTTGACGGCTGAGGATGCCTCTGTTATTCTGCGGCCCCCGGCGTCGCATCTCATACCAGCCAAGCGCGAAGATATTTAGTATAAATGGATGAAAGCATTCTTTGCTTGAAATTCATACCATGTCTGTAAACCAAGAATGGAGACAATAAGCTGTATCCAAGTCTGAGATACCGCCTTGATGTATTCTTGGTCAGGCCTGCTGATTCCTTCTGACAATACTAAAACAAATGTAAATACATATACATGCACAGTCTAAACATATATATATGTGTGTGTGTGTACGTGTGCGTGTGCGCGTATGTATCTATATATGCTTATACACATATATTTTATGTAAATTTATACATATATATATACATGTGTGTGTGTGTGTGTGTGTGTGTGTGTGCTTATCTGTCTCTGTCTCTGTGTTTGAGTTTGTGTGTGTATGTGTGTGGGTGTGCGTGCGTGTGTGTGTGTATGTATGTGTGTGCGTACATATATATATAAATATATATATATATGTATATAAATATATATATATATATCCATGTATTATGTATACATACAAACATACATACATACATTTACATATATTTTCAAACATACATGAATACATG